GTTTCACTTAAATGCATTAAATGCAAACCACCATGAAAGCACATGATGAATACACCCTGGCTCATAAACAGCCTATCATGTCCGCTGATAATGGAGTGAATCACCATAGCTGCTTCCACCCTTTGAAGAACACAGCATGTTCTCAGTCACAGCCCACATCAGTTACATCTAAAGAAGCAATCCACAGGCAGTCAATGGCAGAGAGCTGCTCTGCGACAGCGCTGTATGACAACACATTAACATGATTACCTGTGTCAATAAATAAAGTGGTTAATTCAATCTTTCTTTCCACTTAGTCTTTCTTAGAAATAGTTCATGAAAAAGTAACCGTAATTATCAGTATCGACTGAAATTAAACATTTTATCACGGTACATTTTTTAGCTACATGGCCCAGCCCCCATTCTACATATTGCAGGGTTTGCTGCGGTGTTCTGCGTTCAGCGTTCTCTACGAATGTGAAAAGGAAACGAGCAGTGGCGGTACATTACACAGCAAAGGCCACATTCTGTTTAAACCATCATTAGTAACTACATTGATTACTTATTAAGTTAAGTAGTGTAAGCTCGCCGACTAAAATGCAGCACAGTGTACGGATGATTAGCATGAGCTGCGTTGGCTGGTGTAGTTTTATGAAGAAAATTAGCTTCATCTAAGTAGCTAACTTAAAAGGCTCAGTGTGTTTTAGTTAGCGCTCCAGATTGCTCCGCTAATGTTACAAACACACATACTCATACGTGGACACACCCAGCTCATTATTATATAAGCATGAGAAAAAATGGAAATATGATGAGGAAAATGGAAAATAGGATATGAATAAATGATTACGTGTGCCAAGACAAAAAAAAAATAGGAAGGGGAAGGAGCTGAAATGAAATACTTGTAAATCCCATCTTGCAAACTACCTTCCAATGTCGTGAGGTAACCTGGTGGACAGGTTAGCAACAGAAATAGGTTGGAGAAGTCTAACACAGTTTCCATTACCAGTGAATGGTAGTGTTAGTAACTGATTTAATGGAAGTTTTAAAAAAAAAAAGTTTATCCTTACACTGCAACCATTCATCTGGGTGATGACTGAATCTTAAACCGCTGACTTTGATTCTTGGAAAGTCTTGAAGACTTCTCTGATGTGGAAATACTGGATTTATACACACTTTATAACACCCTGCTGTCCTCCATGGCCTACTGAATCACAGAGAAATTGGTCCTGTGGGTAATATTTTCTAGGTAAGGGATAGTGTTTCTAGGATTGTACTGCAGAGAAAACAGGCAAATATTAAAAATCTAGTGTTTATTTTCAAGCCCTCCATAAATCTTTGTCTCAGTTTTGCTTTGATTCTCTTTGTCTCTCTGTCTGTACCTGAATATTAGCTGACTGATTGAGTATAGTGGGATTTGTCATGCCCTCTGGTCTATTTCATACCCACACACACACATGCTCCGAGCTCTGTCATACATCACAGCTTAAAGGCTTATAGAGTCGCTACTCTAGTATCTTGTCAGCTTTCTGACTCATGACAAGGTTTTCAATTTTCCCCTTTTCACCCGACTGCACTTTACAGCTCTGGTTCTCTCTCCCTTTCTCTCTCTCATCTTGCCTCCTGTCTTGTTCTTTCTCACTTTGCCTCTCATGAGAAAATGAAATTATGTAGTAGACATAGCTGTGTCCAGTATTGAAAACGACATCAACGTCCAAGTGTTGGCTCCAAAGAGGTGCGTTTGTGTTACTGCAATGACTGGACTCACATTACAGGTGTCGGGCTGTGATTTTAACGTCAACACTTATCGGACCAAGTTGGACCAAATGTGTCACAGTCCGGGCCACCAGTGTTCGTGTTTTGTAATTATTATCTGTTCCATTTGGATCTGCCTTTTTGTTGTCGCGCCTGTGGTCACATGAATATGAATCTACAAAGAATATTGTCATGAGCCTCCCAGTGTGTGATGATTCACCTTTGTTCTATCACTACATCAGTCCTGCTTTCATCAATACCCCAGGAAGGTAATATTGTTCTATGCACGAAACAGTCCTTGCTCGGTGATCATTTCAAACATGCAAATATGATAGATTTTTATGTCCGGAGTCAGGAAGGGGAACGTATTTTTGCGTAAAGCCGTTCCAAGCTTCAGTGCAGAGCCACAGGTCCCTCTGCAGAGTTTAGTCCACAATGCCACCCAAGTCTGGGTCTTTATCTCTGTTTTTTCTTCACCTTCTCGCATACAAACCGCAGTCTAAAAACATAAGACCAAATGCTAAAGATAGACAGTTTCTGTTTTGGTGCAGTCGGTACAGTTTGGTACAATGTGAGAACTTGTGTTCTTGTGGGATTTGGGGGTGTTGCTTTAAAACACAATTGTAGTCTTTATTACACACTACTTAACTATGTGGTTCTGTGTATATCTACTATGTTGATATACTGCACACTTTTTCTAAATGTTGAGACTTTAATATCTCGGTGCTGAAACACATTTTTATATGTTGAGTGTTTAGTCTTTTTAATCTTTTGTGATGTTTTTTCTTGTTATTTCTCCAGGGTCGCCATGTCAAGACAGGCCAACTGGCAGCTATCAAAGTCATGGAAGTCACAGAGGTAAAAGTGCATCACATCTAATTACACTCACTCTTTTTATCTCTATCCCTACCCTCCGTTTTGTCCTTCCTATTCTCTCCTCCTCATCTTAGGTGGATTTGAATATTATTAATTATAAGTGTAGCTGATGTGAAAGTTGCCAGGACTATCAGATAAACATGCTGTCAGTGTGAAATATACATGACATACGTTTTTCATGCACATGATCCACACATGAGAATAGCACAGCAAGCTGACCTGGTTGTATTCCGTGTAGGAGGGTAGTTACACAGATCCTTGTACATGGGTATTTCCCATAGGCTTTAAACATGTACTGGATAATTTAAAATAGACACAGTCTCTGTGACATAACTCATAGGTTTCCATTGTGAAACATAGTATGGTGGCTGTGACCATCGCTATCTTGGTGGTCCTGACTCTGCCGGCTCACGGTTAATCTAAAAATGGGCAAAGACATGGAGCGTGGGTGGAGTTGTTACTGAAACCAGCCCCCTGTGACAGTACCCACCCGTCCCTCTAAGCAACCATGGCCTTAATTAGGCATAACTTTGAGTTTTGATATCATTTAAACATGTGACTTATACACAAATTCACTAACCTACAGTTGTGATGAACAGGGAATTTGTACCAGGCTGTAAACATGGTTATTTCTGCTGTAAAGTTGGGCATTTTTATATGGGGCCTTAGGGAGATTGACTCACTTCTGTAGCCAGCCTCAAGTGGCCTTCAAGGAACTGCAGTTTGTGTTACTTCCAGTTTATTTGCCAGCCACAGAGTTTCTGCTTTAATGTTCATACAGGGCCCATCAGTGGGTCCTCAAAATGTCTGAAAAATGGTCTGAATTTAATGTGTAACGATAGGCTTTGATTTTATACAGATTTTACACAAAGTTCAGTTTATTCAGCATGAGGAGTATAATCCAGCCTGTGAAAATAGTTGTATAATGTCTGATAACCCTGTTGATTCTAGAGTACTCCTTTTAAATTGCGTTTTTGTTTCTGGTATGGTTCTGCCCTTAGTCTAGATTGACTGTGCAGAAAATATAAGTACCCAAATTGTACTTTACACTTGCTGGTCTCATGAAGGTGCTGTCATTTTGCATTTACCACATATCGTTCGTTTTTTATATATTTGATGTAGAATACAGATATCTCAAATGCCCTCGCTGATGTCATTTGGTTTTACAAGTTAAAATGGTTTGAGAAGTTTTAAGTAGTGAGTCCTCTGAAGGATTATCACATAGTAGGCCAGACACAAATTCATTTCCAGTATTTGTAAAAATCTTTCACAAGACAGTAATTATGTTTTTGTTGGTCTGCTGGCTCAATACTGCAATATCTTCAATCACTCAGAGTTTCAATTTAAAACTTTGGGATGAAGACAGCAGGAGAAACTGTTGCCAGCATCCAGAGAATCAAAGAGAGGGGAATCAATAGAGGCATAAAATATCAGATGAAAAGAGAAGAAGGAGAGATACCGACAGTGTTGCAGGGCTGTCATGAGCCACACAAGAATGAGTCATAATGAGTCAGTTAGTTTTAAGGCACAGAGATTACAGACTTATGTGATCCCTTCCTCTCTAGTTCTCTCTCTCTTATGTTCCAGCGTTCTTTCTTTCAAGTGACACTATCCCTAAAAAAGACAGAACACAAGAAATGATAGAGGTATTTCCTTAAACAACTTGCCCCAGAAACAAATGAAACAATATCGCAGCATTTGCAGATGTTTGCACTTGTGAAGATAAAAGCCGTTATTGGACTAAATGAGTTGTTTGTGCAGTTTGTCCCTCTTTTGTCTTTTCCAAATTCAATTCTCTCTCCCCTCATGCAGGTAATTGAAGCGATGGAACTTTTACAATCCATCAGACAACCCCTCCTAACTCCCTCCCCAAAGCATAGTTGCACAAAGAGGATCAAACAAAAATCTGCTTTAATATACTGCTAGCCTGACAAAATTAAATTACATGAAATAGTCGCTTCTTTCTTACAGTTCTCTGAGTCTCACCAATATTCCTCTTTTGACCCAGAAGTAGTTTTTTATTAGATTCCAGGTGATCTTCCTCGATATTAAAGTTCTGTTCACTTTAGAGTCTTAAAGCCACAATCTTGGATCGTTTTGGTGATATAACATATTAATAAAACTCACACTATAAATCAATTTGAGGCTGAAAAAATGACTCTGATGCTATATTTAGACTTTCAGTGGTGGGTTTAGCCTTACAGTTATATATGGATTACCGATTACACCTTTATTTTGGGGAGGGAGTCTATTTGTTCTGTGGGTTCTGCCTTGTGTTGTAGGGGGGACAAACAAGAGAGGTGTGGTGGTTTTATTGAATACCGTGTGTGGTTTACAGATGTAGCGTAACAGTGCCAGCAGAATGGGATTAAATATGGGCTAATCATAGCATGTTGTAGCAGTTTGTAAAGGCATACTGGCCATAATGTAGCAAAGCAGTGTTTGATCTAGCTCTAGAAACTAATGTGTCTCTTTGAAGCTCTCTCACAGAGGAATATACAACAGATTCAGTAAATTCTAGTCAATTAGATGATTACTCCACTAATTAATTAGCATAAATATTCATTGGCATCATAAGTTATTTTTAGGCACACTATCAGCATTGCTCTAGGAAAGGCAATATTGCCAGTATTTCTCACTAATTATTTGATGAATTAAATTTTGTACAGAAATGAGCAGTTCTGAGAGGATTAACCCTTCTTCTAGCACTAGGCAGGTTAAAGTTTCTAAAGTTAAACATCTACTAAAATGATAGGCAAAAACTTTAGTACAGACATTCATGGTTCCAAAACAAAAAACCTAATGACCTTGGTGATCCCCTGACTTTTCCATTTGGTTCACAAGATTCCAATTTGTGAAGGTTTAGTCAAAGATCTCAAAAGCTATTGGATGGATTGCCGTGTCATTTTGTGCAGACATTCATGTCCCCCCCCTTCAGGGTTAATCGTAACCATTATTAAGGCATGACATGGTAAACCTTTTATCCTGCTAAACATGAGCACGTTAGCATTGTCATTATGAGCATGTTAGCTTTTTTGATGTTGACTTTGACTCAAAGCTATGCTAAGTATAGCCTCCCAATGTTTTAGCAAATAATGCCAAACGTTACCCTGCTTCTCCGTTGGTAGGATTTCCTGCTTTTGTTTCATGTGATAGGAAACACAATGTCTTTGGGTTTTGGACTGTTCTCGGACTCTTAAAATATGTCATTTTAAGCTTTAGGAAATTGTGATGTTCATTTTAAACAAATTTCTTCCCTTTTAAAATGAGAAAATAGTTTAGTAGTAGTTTCTGTGCAGTTTCTGTTGTGTCAGAAAACATGTATTACAAACTGGTCAGACTACTTCTTTCCACTTTATACTTTGTCACCAATCAGCTGGATTTGTGGACATAACTGGACACACTGGTTTCTTTCCTGTTGATGGGACTTGTTGGTCTGGGTCTTCTTTGTTGCAGGCAACCTCTTTAGCAGGAAATGCTTGGCTATTATCTCCCTTCTCACATACACACACATACACTATCACAGAGAGAAAGAGGGGGAGAAAGGGGGAGAGAGGAGGAGAGATTGCAGACACAGGCAGGAGGCTTTGTGTTTCAGATGGAGGTGAAAGTTCAAACTCTGCCTTGTCATTTTCTCCCCTCCTGTCCTGTGGAGATTTAAAGGAGGTCACTGACTGGGAGAAGCTCTCCGTTGTTTCCTCTTTTCTGATTAACAGCCACATCCAGCTTCTCCAGCTCCACTCTCCCTCCTCCACCTCTCTTCCAGTCCAGTGTAAATTTAGGGGTTCAGTGAATTGGAGAAGTCACAAGTCATTTCCGGGATTTATAGTGAGAAAACAAAAACCGCCGCACTCCGTTTCTTCTACTCTCTCTTTCTGTCCTTGTGTCTCATAACACTGACCAACCTTGGTTGTTTTGTTGAGAAAAAGCAACAGTTGAATTAAGGTCCAAACGCTGGGTGAAAGGGCATGAAGAGCTTACACGACGGTCTGATTGGAGATGCTATCTGTCTGGATGTGTGTTTGTCTTGGACGCAAAACTTTTACAAAGTGCCACCCTTCAACCTTTGTGGATAAGCCTCAGCCTACAAGCAGGATTAAACATGTCATATTTCTGATGTCCAGTCTAATGTAATGTTACTGTCAATACAGAAGAAAGACATTTAGTTCTACTCTGCAGAACTCTTCAGATCAACTATATGGTGTAGTGTTCAACATACTCTGATTGAAGCTGTTGCTGGGAAAGAGTTAAAGTGTTATCATCATTGATAACATTGATGGTTTCAGCACCCAAATATGCTGTGCATGAAGTTTTAATTCTGCTTTATCTGTTGTTATGTTTAGGAGGAAGAAGAGGAGATAAAACTGGAGATCAACATGTTGAAGAGTTATTCCCACCATAGAAACATCGCTACTTATTATGGAGCTTTTATTAAGAAAGGTCCTGCTGGACAGGACCACCAACTCTGGGTTTGTAAACTACTCTTATCTTCCTTTTTCTGCCTATGTTATTGCTATTGAGTCCAAAAAATGAAGAAATGACTCATTTTTTTATTAAATAGCTGCTACCCTTCTGGGTTTATTCTGAAAGTATCAAATGTCATATGATGTGTATTCTTTCAAGATCATTCACGTAATAGTCACAGTTATTTTGCTTGGTACCTGTGTGCCTGTATGTGTCCATCTAGTTGGTGATGGAGTACTGTGGAGCTGGCTCTGTGACAGACTTGGTGAAGAAGACCAAGGGGAACAGTCTGAAGGAAGACTGGATAGCTTACATCTGCCGAGAGGTGCTCAGGGTAAGCACGACGTGAAAAGCACTCATACAGTCACCTCAGCATACAGACACACTATACACCTGTACTTGTATAGCAGACCCTACACTGGAACTTGTTGCCAAATTGCTTGGTCTGGCCAAGTGACGGCCCACACAGCCCACTCTGCCCCATTCGGCCCAGATACAGCAATGAATTATGGTCCACATGTGGGCCAGATCTGGTAGCTGACCTTCTTCTGGCCCTAAGTTTCAGAACTGGTTCCACATGTCATTTTTTTGACTAAACCTTTACCAAGCCTCCATTTTGCCCAGATGAAAAATGCCTCAACAACGACAGAACAAATATTTATTGATTTTTCTCTTGTCTTCTCTTCTCTTCTCTTCCAGTCCTCTCCTCTCATCTCCTTCCTCTACTCCCCTCCTCTCTTCTTCTCTTTCCCTGACAGCACTGCATGTATAGTATTGTGTAGACATATAGTTCAATCAATACATTTAGCCAGTAAACACTAGGCCTGCACACTTTTAAACCATTGCCAGAAGAACTCTTGTCCATAGGGCCAGCTATAGTCATATGGTTATCTGAGATATGGCTATGTAATGGACCATATGTAGCTACAAGATCTGCCACACATGTGGACCGTAATTTATTGCTGTATCTGGGCCAAGTGTAAGGGCCTGACTAATTTTGCTGTGTGGGTTAGGTCTGGTGTCATATAGACAACGTTTTATTGTATTTCATCAATTTGAACTTGTCCATTGTTATTATTCTAAAAAAGTATAACCATTTGCACTTCTGTGTGTGTGACATTACATAATGCTTGATTTGATTATTATTTGGACTCAGTATAGAGTTGTGAACTGGGTGGAGCCGCTCGCTGGTCCCAGATGTATTTTTTTTTTTTACGTATTAATGCTTTTATGCTAAGCTATTATTCATTATTTGAACTGCATCTTTAAGAAATGTCCATCAGTTTGGTATAGTGGATGACTCTAAATACTTCAATACCCACAAACCTCAGCCACCATTGCTATGGAGAAGAATCTAGTCACAGGCGCCAATCAGAGCCGTTGTATATTCCAAACACTTTGTTTTTGCAACAGGAAACAAAACAGTGCACCATGGTGGTCAAATTCATCCAAAACAAACCAGAACAAAACTGAAATGATTTAGGTTGCTGATGTTTGGTCAGGTTTATTACAAAGTGTAATTTTAAGCTTACACTTAACAGTAGCAGTGCAGTATAAAGTATTTTAAGCTTTGATTTGATGTTTCTTACTGAACTGCTCTCTGAAGCAACGTATCCATCCAAATGTAGTGCAAAAGAAAATGTGAATGAGTTTTTTGTGAATTAATGCATTTTTTCATCCCCTCTTGGACTCTGTTTTTCCCCCATTGTTTCCACTCAAGTTTTTTTATACTTGAAACTGTGAGTAAAAACAGCTGAATGGAAACAAACATTGAGAGTTTTAGTTTACTTCTCTCCTTAGGTACCAAATATTGCTTGTGCAGAAAATTAACCCATCTTTCTCGAAATAAGAGAGTGTGTGTACATTGTGTAAAGGTGTACCTGCTGTTCTGTGCTGTGTTCACCCTGATCACACTGAAACAGATCCCCGTTACTGTACCGATCGTCATGTGACCGAGCAGTTGAACCCTCAGTCTTCAAATAACTCTCAATACACACAGAGAACCCCAAGTGAACTTTGTTTCTGAGGTGTTGTTATGGTTGAGGCCCTTTTTAGTGCTGGTACAAACAGAGGTAGTAATTTTCGTGTGGATGCAAACTAAAGGCTGAATGAGTTGCCACTGTTGTATATGAAACATGATGCTACTTTTAGCGTTGGATTCTTTGCCAAAACATCAAAGACAAAAAGCCAAACTGACTCTGATACTTCTTTATGTTCAGGGATCAGTGTCTCCCTCATGACTCCGGGGGAATAACTGATTTATTTTTCATTGATATACTTTAAAGGCTAGTTTAAACCACATGTCTGTAAGATGTTATGGTTATCATTATAAGAGATCACAAGGTCCTGAGAAAGACTCCGGGATGTTTGCACTGCTCTCCGCCTTGTTGTTTGTGGCTCTTGTGACAAACCTACACATACACAAACAGTAAACCAGATTAGTTCCAACATATCCGTCCTTGATATTGACGTTATCAAGTGCAGAAAGAAAGTGAGATGATTTTGTAGAGTAAAAACACTTGACAGACAAAGAGCTCTGGACGGTCGCCAGTGATTTCCCTGCCGCTGTCAGCCATGCTGTCTCCTCATTGTTTCAACACCACAGCATACACACACAAACACACATGCAAACACACACAGACACTCAGCATAACATGGTGAAGTCATTGTCTGAAATAAGACTCACTTCCTCTGTTTGTTTAACCTCCTTTGAAGAAGCGAGAGTACAAACACACACACACACACACACACACACTTATCAAACTATGCCATGGTTGGTAGTCTGTGCCACTAGGTCACTCGCTACCTAAAGCAAAGTCATTTGGAATTTTCTCGGAAGGGGAAAGCTGGCAACAAGCTCTTTATTCAGCATTCCTTCAAAATAAACACACAATGCAACTCTTTTAAAGGAGAGTTTGCTTCGTCATATTTATAGAAATAGTGCTCATCTGACTCTGTGTATGTATGTGTTTATGTGTATGTATATTTGTCTTCCAGGGTCTTTCCCATCTTCACTCCCATCATGTGATTCACAGAGACATTAAGGGACAAAACGTTTTGCTCACGGAGAATGCCGAAGTCAAGCTGGGTATGACACATCGACACATGCACTGTGGTTTCTGTAGCACATCTGTGTTCCTCTCGGCAAAACTGTAGAACAATCACACAGTCATACATACATGCGTCCATAAATCACACGACCGCAAAGACACCTCACACAGAAACAAAGATTGTGGTTTTTTTGGAGACGTGAAATTGTCCTACATTTTTCAGTTGACTTTGGAGTGTCGGCACAGCTGGATAAGACGATCGGACGCAGGAACACCTTCATCGGTACTCCCTATTGGATGGCTCCGGAGGTCATCGCTTGTGATGAGAATCCTAAGGCAACATATGACTACAGGGTACTTATTTACACAGAAATAGTCAGGCAACTTTAAGCACATATTTTCATCTTTTCTTATATATTAAGATGTTTAAAAATATACAGAAAATGAGGTTAGTTCCCAGCAGCGTGACTTCATAAATGGGAACGGGAAGTGCGTTACACTGTTTAGACAGCTGTATTGATAAATATAGAATCATATCTGTCCCGTCAGATGCACATGAGACTTAAAAAAAGAAGACAAACTGTTAGCCACATATGTGTCTCTGTTGGCCGGACCACAGGTCTGGTTGCAAATACATCTTGGTTTTCCTGGGCAAATCTGGTTCAGCCCTACTTCAGTAAAAAGTGTTGTGGTGGTAAAGCACCTAAAGCAGTTTGCTGCAAGAAGCAGAATGTATGCACTTCAATCAATTCTATCAATTTATCTAGCAGGAAAGCTAAATCAGCACAAAAGCATTGACTCTTTGACCGACTATTTGCAAAATAGAAGTTTTCAATCTTCGCAGGCTCTCACTAATGCCACTCTATCATGCTATCATCCACAGAGAGGACGGCTGATTTAAGTGTAACTACAGCTGACATTATCTCAGAGGAGAGATGCTAAATACACTACACAGACCACTTACTGACAGTTACATGTGGGAGGAGTAAAGATTACATATCTAATTTGATTTCAAACCATCTGAAATTTTTCTTGGATGCACTTACTTGATATCTGACAGCTATCCAATACAGCCTAGATGCATGAGCTGAGTAGTGTTAATAGTGTCAAAGCCTACATCACCTTACAGTCAGCAGAAGAGTTTCAACTGGACAGAATTTCATTACAGACAGAAAATGTTTTTTGTGAATCTTTTCCGATGCTGAACTTTGTCCAAAATGTTAACCAAAAAAAGGTTTCCATTCACTCTTACTGACCAGATATATCATAGTTCACAGACACATCCTCAAGTGCAGTATCAGCTAATCTAATGTTGTTCTGGAAGTCATTAGACACTGACTGTTGAAATCCAGTACATCATTGAAAAGAATCCACTGATTCCTTTATTCTTTTGTGAAATGCCAGAAGATTGGCTGGACATCTTGGAAATTGTGTGTGTAATTCTTGGATCTATACTCTCGCATTATGCACAAACTGATTTACTGTTTGAATATGAAAAGGACATCCAACGTTTACAGGAAATGAGCAGAACTTGAACTGAGCTTTGTGTGCGCACTGCTCTCAACCTTTTCCTGTCTCTTTCCTTCTCAGAGTGACCTCTGGTCTTTAGGCATCACTGCTCTAGAGATGGCCGAAGGAGCCCCTCGTGAGTTAACCTACATATACACACATTGTTGATTGATATCATTTGTCTGTACTGTCTGTACTGTATACTTATTCTTATATTCATTTTCCCCTTTATTTTTCTGTCTCTGTCCCCATCTGTTCCCTTTTCTTTCATCCCCCCCCCCCTCTCTCTCACTGTCACTGTGACTCTCTACCTCTCTCTACCTCTCCGGCTATCTTTCTTTCTAGCTCTGTGTGACATGCATCCAATGAGAGCCCTGTTTTTGATTCCACGAAACGCTCCACCCAAACTTAAATCAAAGAAATGGTAAGCCTGATCACACACTCACACACACACATATGTACACTCAAAAAGGATGCAAAGGGCAGTGTTTCAGGTTTTATCTTCTGAAAACTTGAATGTGGTCTTTGTTGTGGGTTTCATGCACCAGACAATCAGACTGAAGATATCCTAACACTCTCTTCTCACAAAGAAACTGAAAGCTCTGGCACACTCAGCAGGCAACACGATAAAACTTACAAACTGTAATACATTTGGCCTTTATTAGAATGGACACAGAACACTAGGCGAATATGTTGTTGCTGCCATGTTTAATCTTAATCAGTTTTATTATTAAACCCCTCTCTCTCTTTTACTCTCCTCTCTTCTACTCCCCTCCTGTCATCCTGTCTCCTTCTCTTCCATATATAATGGATAAGCTCTTCAGCTTGAACTGGTGGTTGAACTCATGCTGTCTTTCATTCACTATTAATGTCATCAGAAACAGTAGTTCATAGGGCAGCTTTTAATAGCTCCAATGGTCTGGGGTGTGCAGTGCTTTCCAGTCCTTGTACCTCAGGGCCTCCCGAAGGCTCCATACACTCCAAAAAAGGAGCAGCAACACATATTGCTCCCCTGTTCTCTTTGATTTCAGAGCACAGACAAGATGTGTCAAATTTTAGGAGCGTTTCTGTACACAGATATCGCCTGGGTAAAACTTCAACTCAACATTTTTGACAGGATTTTGCTTGGTGATACTTTAACAAGTGATTGCTAGTTTGCATACTGTAGGTGAGTTTAAACAAATATTTAAGAATGTGGTGGCATGCTAAGAGACAGATTAACCTGCTGGTTTTGATATTGTTCTGCTTTATGTCATTGTTTGAAACTTTGTATTGTTCACTCTTTTCCTGTGATTTTGACTGCATATTGATTTACACATTATCTGAGTTTGCTCCACGTTTTTCTTTTCTGACTTTATACATTGTTATACTGTAATATGCTTTTGACTTTAATCCTCTTTATGCAAATGTTCCCTTCATAAGGAGATTATTAATTGAAAGGGACCAATCCTGTTAGATACATATTTGAGAGTTTAAGTAAAAAAAAAATATGGAATGAAATGTTTTTCATGTGTTTGTATAAAATATGCTATATATTATTATTATTATTATTATTATTATTATTATTATTATTATATAATAAGGACCTATATCAGTAAAATCTTCTCAGACTATTTAACTACTGTGGTACAGGTATGGGTTTGTGGCATACATGAATGATAAATTGCAACTCAGTTAAGCCACTTCCCATGTGTCAACTCAAATTCTTTCATAAACTGCTTTTAGTAGGCCATTTTACTACAGAGTGCTTGACAGAGGACACATAAGAGCAAACATGATAATAAATGTGCAAACTGCAGCTTAATGTTAAGGTTGTCATTGGCAGTTTTGCCGTGGAATCAATTAATTTGGATTTTAGGAATCACTTTGATATTAAGTGGCTGTGTTATGTAAAGTCTAACCGAGGGCTTGGGCTTGAATATTTATGTTTAGGTTTTTATAACATTCTCAATCTGTTTTCATGCTAACATGTTTTGCTTCCGCCCTCTTTCGTTGTCTGTCTCTTTCTGTCTTTCGCAGGTCAAAGCGTTTCTTGTCATTCGTCGATAGCTGCCTGGTCAAGAACCATCTGCAGCGACCAGCTACCGACGCCCTGCTGAGACACGCTTTCATCAGAGATCTGGCTAATGAGAGACAAGTTCGCATAATGCTCAAAGATCACCTGGATAGAACCAGGAAGAAGAGAGAGAAAGGTGAGGGGAAATGGATGCAATAGATATGCCAGTAACAGAAGAGATAGATGGAAGAATGGCTGGATGGAGTTTTATTCCGACCAAACCCTGAAGTGGGGCCAGATTTTTTTTCTCTGGGATTTCCTGAGTTCTTTTATTTAGACTTCACAGCAGCAAAACTGACTCACTCTAATCGATTTCAGTTCAGTTGTTGTATTTACAGCTGCAGAGTTATTCAGCTGATACACTTACAGATGATGATGATCCTGGTGAGTTTTGCCAGGGGCTGGTATCCTGATGGAGAACCTGTACTGACATTGTTGGCTACTTTTTGAGGAAGTATGGTTTTCAATTAAACACATACAAGTAGACATACACAAAAGTGGATGCATACTTTCACAGAGACCATTTGGAATATAGACATAAACACACACAAACACAACAGTAAAAAAAGAAAAACCCACAGCGCAGACGGAGAAAGCGAAAGTGACCTGATTTAATACATAGGGTTGAGGTCATACATTGTTAGAATTATCTGTGTGTTTGAGAGGTGATTCTTTGGCAAGGGCTTTGATAGAAAGTTCTGACAAATACCTCACTTCAAAGAATAGATTTTTCATCATGTTTCACATATTCAATGCATGAGGTTAGTTTCAGGCCACTTGTGGTGGAGTAAGAACTTTCACTCTTCAGCTGAGAGAGTGCACCAGCAGCAGCTGCACTGATGGCACAGCTGCTGCTTTGCTCAGACTATGAACAACACTGCATTTCTGCTTATTTGCTGTTTGTGGAAATGTTTAATTAGTGACCCACAGTTTACACAACTTCTTTTGCATATATTATACTTTGCTGCCATTCATTTTGCTCAAGTAAACCCACATGTTATAACACTTACTGTAAACCTGTCCACTATCATTGTAATCACTGAAACCAAACAGAAGGTTTTAGGGAGGGAAGCACTGTACGATTACACTTGTACACACACAGTGCAGTTTGTAGACTAACTGGTTGGACAACACCCTAGCCAATAAAGCTTTTGAATTTGAATTTGAACTGTACCAGCTATGCCAGATATTTTAATTGTTTTAAATATGCAGAGAAGCGAGGAAGGGCGAGAGTGAGACGGCCAGACAAAATGAACGAGGGAGGATGTTGAATCGGGCCAAAACGCTGTACACGGCTGACCTTTCCTTTCCTTCTCTACAGAATTCAGTTGGGACAATGTTTTTACAGACAGACAGACAGACAGACACAGAAATGAAGGAAGGAGGAGAATGAGGAGATAGTGAGAAAGAGGGAGGGATATAGAGACAAAGAAACAAGAGGGAAATTAGGAGTATGAAGAGGGGGTGGGAGAATTTTATCCTCATCCTGTTAAAATGAATTACACTCTGGAGTTGCACGTGCTGAATATGTGATGAAAGTCAAACTGAGAAAAAGAGTTAGGGGAGGGGACAAAGATATTCATGACTCTGCTCTTTTTTTGTTCTCACGTTGATATTCAAGCAGTGTAAGAAATCCTTGTATTATCCATCAGGTTTATTCGTCTTCATTTGGGAAACGAGAGGGTAGAGGGACGAGAGACAGGAAGAGACAGTGATAACAGCAGAGAGAAAGACAGAGAGACACAGAAAGTAGGAGAGAGAAGCTGAGAGGGGTAGGAAGGAAGAAACAGAATGGCCATCTGGTTCTAATCTTCTGTTAGCTTATAAAAACACACTAATGACTGGTGGACTTTCTGCATGCTGCATGTGTTGTGTGTGTGTGCACGTAATGTGTTTAAGACCAGATTTGTGTGTGTGTGTTTGTGTGCCCCTGTGCCCTTCCAGAGTAATGAAATGCTGGTAGTCTGAGTGTGTGTGGGAAAAAGTCACTGTTCCGGACGTGATGCAAAAAGGATGTCATTTTCAACATACCCAAGAGTGTAGTTTGGACAAAGATGGTCTATGTTTTGGAAGATGAATCACTCAAAAAAACTTGTTCAGCAAGAGTAGGCATTAACCCTCAAATTGCTCTTCTCTCCTGCAGCTTTGGCTCAGAAAGACGTGACATGAGCCAAAATGTTCAAACATGACATCACAGCAACAGAGCAGAGATCTCCTCTGTCTGTTGCAAAAGTACAATTCTCCTCTTTCCTCCTCCCTGCTTCCTCCTCCCTCCTACACCTGTATTGTGTTACCTTACAGCGTGTTAATGCCAACATATGGCGTGTCAAGTAAATGTTCAAGTTAGCCCAAGCTACTTTCACACCATATGTCGGCCAAATGTTGTTATGCTAAGCTGGCTGGCCTATCTTCCTGGCCTGTGGACAATAAGCCCCCTGGAACTGTGGGGCTATGCAGTGATTTTTTTTTTTTTTTAGACTCAAGAGAGAGTTTACAATTTTCCACAATTTGTGGAATTGGTCTAATATACATTTAAAAACAGCTGTACAAAGACAATACTTCAGTGTGTGTGAGCTGTGGGTCGCATGGTTCTGTAGGAGGTGCATGTAAAAAGGAGAGAAAAGTTTTAGTGAATGAGTTGGGTTGGAATTTCGATGATTCAGCATTGCAGTTCTAAAGCCATGGTATAACAACTCTGGCCCATATGTCTTCCACTAAACAAGACTCTTATTTACTTTCTTGTTGCCCAAGTTTGCCCACACTATACTTTAGTGTGGCTTTGATAATGACAAAATTGCTACTGGCAGTAGACGATGAAGGGGCGAGACGGCAGGCATGGAGGAATTTTTAATGAAACAGTGGCTGGTTCAGAAAGCCAAAGACACAGTACTGTGTGCCAGAGAAGAATACCCGCACCAGTGCAAACACATCAGAAGCCTTCCCTCCAAGCACCACCCAGGACCATATCTAATTTCTGACTAACACTGAACGCATCATTTTACAGTCGAGAACCTGCCTGGTTCACACTCAGACTGCTCTTATTATGGACATCAGAGTGAAGTGGGACACATTCCACTTGGGTACTGTTACATGTTCACATAATTAGATCCACTCTGATACAACTATTAGGGCAGCAACTTACAAATATTTTCCATATCGATCAATCTGGGGGTTATTTTAAAGAAGTCACAGGGAACTTTCATTTTGTGTTAAGTCTGGAGGCCCCTGTGGACATGCGCTGTATTGTTTCCACCACCTCGTTTCATTGAGACAAGGGGAATCTGAATCCAAGAATACCTATATAGAAATAGCCCATCTTCTCACTGATGGTCTTGTCTGTTTTTGTAGGTCATTCTGTATAGAGGCATCAGTATTTAATTGAGACTGTTTCATAACCAATTAAAAATTCCTTGTAGTATGTTTAATTATTAATCAATTCCTCAATTAGTCTGTAAAAATTTGGAAAATAGTGAAAAAAGGAGAAAATCCTCACATTGGAGGAGCTGTGGTCAGAGAATTGATGGTGTTTTTGTTTGAATAAATGACCTTAATGATTAATCAATAATCAAAATAGTTGCTGTTAATTTTCTTTTTTCTTGGGATTGATTAATCAGCTAATTGTTTCAACTCAACACAATTTAGCTACCTCAGTAATTTTTAAAAAAAAAAAGTGCCAAAAAATCATTACGTTTTTATTTCAATTGAGGAGATTTTCTTTTTCTTTTTTATTTAATGACATTATTTGAACCAAATATCATATGTATTTGTTTCTTTCTCAGAGGGTCCAGAGTATGAGTACAGTGGCAGTGAAGAAGAGGAGGACGAGGTGACAGAGGAGGAAGGAGAACCCAGGTAAAAGCCTTTTCACACTAAGCATGAAATAAATTAGAAATCATTTAGAATCACAGTAGTTGCTGCAGATGTTCATGTTCAGAAAGGTTATTATATCAAGTATACAGTTAATGAATCCAGGTAAATGTGCAAACAATGTCTCAAAGATTTTTTAAAAATCCTCACTATCATCATTAGAACAAACATACATTAACACTCATGTCATTACGAACTCTCCCTCTGCTTAAGTGCTCCGTTCATACATACATAGCTAATGAATCACTACAGGGCATGCATGTGTTTGTATGTCCATGGACAGATGCACTAGCCTCTCTGTTGCTGTCCCTGGACATCAGACAGCAGATGGCACTAGGAACTGAGCACTTTCTCCTAGGATGAGCTTTAATTTCTGTAACTCTGCCCATGACCACCTCACTGGTGAATTAACAGCGATTTAGCATTTCTATCTTCATCCGCAAGTGTACTTGAGTACATCACTTACACCGTTCTACTCTCTCTTCCTCCTTCAGCTCCATAGTGAATGTTCCCGGTGAGTGGACCTTAAGACGGGAGTTCCTTCGTTTGCAGACGGAGGATCGGGACGGGGGCAGAGAGGGTGGCCACGGGGGAGGTGGGGCTCAGCAAAGACAACAGGTAGGTTTTGAGTTCAAAAAACTAAATTAAGTCCAGTGTGTGTAATCAGTGTGTCTGTGTTGTTTGGATAGTTGATACATTGTTTCAGCTATTTTTGTTGTTGTTTCTAGTTTCTTAATTATGAGGATTCACTGTTTTTCTTGCTTAATCAGTAATGATAATGAATAATTGTTGCTTCCCTTATTATTATTATTATTATTAGTAGTAGTAGTAGTAGTAGTTGGATGTGCCCTCTGCACAGCAAGTTTAGGTTGATTCATTTCATTAATTAGGTTTATCACACAAGAAAATCATCTCAACTCAAATGGGAAAATTATCGTATTAGATGGGAAAGTAGAGTCACTACCAAAATGTCCACTCTGAGCGCTAATACTATTTCACACTCAGCAATTAGCCTTTAGTCTTTTTAAAGTTTTCGGTGTAACTGCCTCATATCACATATGGAACAGACGGCCATTTAACCCTGGATCAGTCAGAGTACCCTGGATCAAAGTCAAACATAATTCATTTAGGGTTTTGCTAATACAGTTAAGAGTTAAGTTAACCCAATATTCAACCCTTCAATCAAAGACTGTGAAATCAATCAGATCGTGAAAAGCCTACTGTGTCTTTTTCATAATTTTATTTTAACTAGGATCGTATTATATATATATGTATTTATGTCAGGCATTACAGCAGCACAGGCAGCAGCTGGCGGAGCAGGAACGATACAAGCAGCAGTTACTGGCTGACAGACAGAAGAGGATCCAACAGCAACACGAGCAACGGCAAAAGTTAGAGGATGTAAGTACTGCGTTTACACATTCCTTCTCTGTATTCACTCAGGTAGATAGCTAGATCTTTATTGTCATTTTGCTCCAAACTATGAAAAACAGCGTGCGGCATAGTTGAGTAGTTCTGCATTTATAGGTCAGTACGGAGGTTCGAGTGCTGCTGGAAATAAAACATTTCAGAGGAAGATAAGATTAGCTCAGATCCACCTTTCCGCTTTTATCAGGTCCATCTTTACAAGAAGGCGCTTCAGTTTCATCTTCAAGCTGCTGAGTCACATCCTTATTCTTCCCACCCTAACTGCTCTCACATTGCCCTCAACCATGGAAACTTTACACAGTAACCTGCAACTGTGTGTCAGCTGTAGTTTTATAAGAATGTCAGCTAAATACATTTAAATAGAAAATATATATAATGCTAGTAAACCCAAAAAACAATACTATTTACACTTTCCAAAGAACTGTATTGTTGTTAATGTGAATGACGTCAACTGTTGTTTGTGTACATATTGTGATTAGTGGTACTTTGTGGGTTTCCAGCAACAGAGGCGGCAGCTGACAGACTGTGCCTTTCAGTGGGCGGAGCTTCAAGAGATCTTGCTAGGGGAGGAGTCTGATCTCCATGACAACAGAATTTTTCTGGATGAGAGAAACAGGAGGACTGACAGGAGACAGGTAAACATGAACTTCTAGTTTTGTCACTAGACTTAGAACTGTAGTAATCATAACATTGTTGGTCTGTGCTTGTTTTTTTAATATCATGGTATTAGATGAGGAGGGGTGCTCGCTTTTCTCCTGTGTGTTTGCTTAAACCTTAATTGATTATTTTGGCCACCTGAAGGCATCGCTAACAAGTTTATAATTTACACATCCTGCAGTCAAGAAGCAACATAAACATTCACTTGGAGTCCTCACTCTTCTTTTAGCTCTGGTTTGGTCTTCAACGGCCC